TAAAAGAATTAAGCGCTTGGCTAAGTGAAGCAACAATTCTTTCATTTTTTTTAATTTTTTTAATTTTTTTAATATTACTTTCAAATATTATACTTATTCTAAGTATAAAAAATTTTAGTATAATTAAACATTAAATATAACTTAATCTCAACTTATTAATAAATATATAATTTGAAGCTTATACATAGACAGCTGACTAAAAAAGAATAATTTTAAATTTAAAAAAGTAGTTTTTTTTTCGGAATGGAGGTGAGTCGAACACCTAAGGGATATTTCCCGAACAATTAGCAATTGCCTTAACTTACCAATGAAAACCATTCCTTGCGCAGCATCATTATTTTTTTTCAATTTTTACTAAAATAAAAAGGCTATAAAAATTACTATTTATAAATTTTAGGTTGTATCAATAAGAGCAGAAGTCCTGAGCTCTACAATTAATACACTTCTTACAAAGCTGTTCCCGCTACGCTCCTTTTTTTAAAAACGCGGAGCGCGGAGCCGAGCAGTTGCAAGAAAGTTAGATTTTTTTGTATTGCAATTGATTAAGCGGTTATTCTACTGCGTAGCAGTGGGAGCTAGAGAAGGTAGTAGAAGCAGCATTGGAAAAAAAAAGGAATTAATATATAATTGTAATTTTTATTTTTGTAAGATTTTAAGATCCGATTCTTACCAGAATTGAACTGGTGCTAGCTTTTCGAAAGAAAGCTGTACTAACCACTATACCAAAGAATCATTACATTATTTTTATACTGCTTCTCCTGCAGCAGCCAGCTACGCAGAGTAGCGCGTGGAACCTTAAAAAAGACTTGCTCAGCAAACGAAGCAGCAGGCTATACAATTATTTAAAAAAAAAAGGTATTTTTTAACTTCTATCCGCGGATCGCACGCAACAGCCGCCTGTAGGGCGGGGAATTCATGTTATTTAAAAATTACGAGATTAGGATTTGAACCTAAACCATAAGCTAATGAGACTTTTATGCTACCATTACAATATCTCGTATATCTAATTTCTTTTAATTTATATAATATTTTTAAATTATATTACACTTTATTTTCTTGTGGCTTCATACTCCTTCTGCAGGTGCTAGCGCTGCGCTCTAAAGAGAGGTAGCACTAAGTGTAGTAAGAAGAGAGTGCTATGCTTTATTTGATTAAGGAAGCTTTTTTATTT